CCACTGAGGAGAAAGATGCTGGATGAGTTAATGGATTGCTGTTGGAAGCCGCGGAGTAGGCTGCAATGTCTGCTCTAAGAAATGAATAAATACAATGATGGCTACACAGAGAAAGAGGAAGGAAAGCAACTGGCTCTGCTGCCTGAACAGAGCAATGACATTGTGACACTGCAGTTATGAAGAAATGATGATGAAATTGGATTTGTGCAACGATAACAGAGGCCTTATTTGAGACAGATGCGATCTAAAGACAACTGAGCTCATATTTAAGTCAACATTTACACTGTAATCAAACCAAATACTGCAGTCAGTACACTCACATGTAGTACATGGCGTACAATACAGAGTATACTGATTGGTGTAGTGCATACATTTCCAACAGGGTAACGTATCGAATCAGGCACGTTAGTTGTGCATTCACCAGAGAGGACGACCACAACATGGGTACACAATTGTCATCAACAAAAATATCTACACGCTACTTCACTCATGTGATTAAAAAATGAATGTTTTTTGTGAGTTACCCTCATGGAACTAAAGTTATAAACTGTGCAAGAAAACCTCTAGCTTGGTGCATTATTCAAAGGGTTTTAAGGTAGTCCTGTTACAATAACACATTTGGTTGGATGATATTTTGTCCCTGAGATTATTGTGATAAATAATATTATTGTCATCATTGTGAAACAATTTTAAACCACTAGTACAATGATAATAGTATAGCTTAATCATGCAAGTACATCCTTTCAAAGAGCAATGAACTTAAATATGAAAAGTATTTAGTCTAAGATTTTAATGTCTGACTTTGTGTCAGTGTGTGAGTGAGTGAGTGAGTGAGTGGGGGCGGGCCTGTGTGTTGGAGTGTGAACTCCGCAGAGGAGATGAGGAAGTGACACCACTTGATCAAACATAGAGACAGAACCAGGAAAATGTTTAGTTGCACTTCACAGACTTGTGGTTGCATGTGTCACACCCTGGAGCCCCATATCATTTGTCCTGCCACAGTTTCATAACAAGCTGAAGACATTTTGACACTCCTCATAACAACATTAAAGATTCTAATGGCAGGTAAATAATTTATATTGTGATTTGGAGCTGTACAAATAAAATTGAAGTGACTTAATGTCATATTTTGTGCTGTTGCTTTATTGTAGAGCTGTGTGCAATGCTCTTTGTCTAACTGGCCCTGTTCAGGCCTGGCATTTACATCCATCCTGAGAGATCCCATCAAGTGGTCAGCTCTACGTTTGTCATTTCACACCAGACAGTAAAATGTATCCTGAATGGGTCTCTTGTAACCACTTGTGATTGGATCTAACTTCCCTGCTTGCAAATAATCACACATTTTCTGTGTTCATGTAGACTAAATTATACTGTTTAACCCAGTCTTAATATAAAGGTGTGTCTGATGTACCTGTGTTTGTGTCGGCATGGGTGAGAGAGAGATAGAGAGGAGTCAGCTTAAGAAAAGATGATCAATTTAAGGAAGGTTTCAGTCATTATGTGGTGAACAGTGTTGATATTGTGGTAGTGGCAGCAAACAAATCAATATTTGATCACTGAGAAACGTAAAAGTTTGTTTGAATAATCGGGAAAGTTGGTGGTCCGTCCTGGTCCAGAACTGATTGATGATCACACAGGATATTCAATGTGGTCACATGCGTCCCGGACCATCTCCGAATGTGGTCTGAGTGATTGGATCTCAGAATGCACTGGGGATCATTGTACTTAGCACCAACCATTTATGATCAAATCACTGAGGACGGGGGTTAATACCAGGTCAATGATGGCCTCACTCTTACTCCCAGCAGCTACTGACACTAGACTCTAACTCTGTGTAACAATCCTTCAAATTACATTTTGATGTTAATATATCATAACTTGTTTCTTGTTTTTTTTTTTCTTTAGTTGCAAAAGAAACTTCCACACATAGTTCTATCCAACTTTAAGTAACAATTCATCAATGGAAATGTTTCAACATTCATAAAGCAATTTTCCAGCAAAATGTATTATTCCTTATTGTGGTAGAAATATTAATTGCGACAAGGCGTATACTGTGATATCATCCGAAACTCATTACAGAGTGAAATCCTGATACAGTTACGAGCCTGTGTAAAATATGGGGATGTTGTGTTATTACAAAAACCTTTCCAATGGGGGTCACATTCGAACTAGAGCTGGTGTCAGGCTTCCTACATAAAAATCCTGTGTTGGTTGTCATACAGAACCGCCTCATGTTAAGCAGTGAGAAGTGTTCTCTTATTAAGGAAGAGCAGTTTGTGACCCCAGCCTTGTATTGATGATCATCTAAATGCTTGGAGCGTTGGGGTTTAACTAACGTGTTTTGTACAGGATCTAAACGAGGGCTCGTCGTGTCGTCCTCACTAAAGACACACAGTGTTGGTAACTATTTAAAAAAGCATATAGTTAAGCTAGTCTTGCTCAGCTCAGAGACCCAGTCTGCGTAAACACCACGTAGCCTCTGGAGTTGTTCCCCTCGGCTGCACCGCAGCCATTCATCACCCACAGAACAAGCAGATACGACTTTAACTTAACATTTCAGGTGCTTAAACGTAATCTTGGCTTAAATGTGGGATATGATGGCAAGTTTACGCAGTTCCCGATAACCCATAGCCTTCTAAACAACAACTTTAACCAGCTAACTCCAGTTAGCTTGCTAGTTAGCTATTAAAGTTCCTGACTGGGTGAAGTCAGAAGATAAAGCATGACAATGAACCGGAAACACTATTCAAAATAAAACTGACCCGTTTTAAGAAGGACAGTTTCCTCGGCCGTTCGTTCTCGCGAACTTTATTTTGAAAGCTTTCGCTGGAAAACCTCGCTCTTCACTTTCGCGAACTTGACAGCCCGAAGTTACCCAAAGCAAACAGCGAAGGGAAAGTTAGCTCGTCAACGTTAGCCACTTCTCTGCTAAAACACCTCGAGTCGTCTGTTTTCAGATACAAGCTCGTACGGCAGTGTGTCGACAGTTCATCTGGGGAAATGGTCAAAGAAAGAAAGCCCCCGACATGTGGTCCTTTAGTCTGTTAGTTGTGTATTTGCAGAGTTGTCTTTGTTCGCTTACCTTGGTCGAAGGTGCGGTGCCTGCCGTCTCTTCCTCTGTGTCACTGACTGCTGCGTGTCACCATCAGTCAGAACTCAGCAGGACCCCTAGCGGCTAAACCGTGTCAAAGCAGCAGGCCTGACTGGCCGATCCGGATGTGGAGCCCAGACTTTTTTTTCTTTTTTTACAGTAAATACAGTTTGAAAAATAACCTGGTGAAAAAACAAGAGGAAAGGTTTTTGTTTTGTCTATGCTGTATGTCAGTCAGCTGAGTTCCTCGCCGTGCTGTAAACACAACTGGAATAAAACAGTGAACCAAACTGAAGTGAGTCTGAGCTGTGATCGAACTGTTCTGTCCCTGAATGAAGCTTCTCACAGATGTGATAAGAAAACTATGATCAACACAGACCAGCCTTTTCTCTGCTCAGAGCAGCTTCACGTCAAACAGCAGATGATGTGGTGGCATCATGTGTCTGTTATATGGATCCACTCAAATGTGACGGTTCACTTTAAAAGTAAAAAGTGGCTTCATGCAGACTGAGGTCACTTTCTCCCAGTGATGTCATCATCACAGCACTGAGGTCAGTGTTTGCTGTGAACCAGAAACACTGGAGATGATTTCACTTGAATGTTAATCTGCCTCACATCCTGCTGCTGCTGTGTCTGACTGACGTCTGTAAATCTTGTTGCACATGAAAACGTTTACTTTGTTTCTATGTATTTTTCTGGTGAAGTGCTTCACAGTCAAACTGCTTCATCTCAGTCTCCATTTCTCCCACTCTGATCAATAGTGTGTAGTGGTCGCTTGTGCAAACACAAATGTAAAGTTCAGCGTGTGAGTACAGCACTTAGTCTAGTCCATTATAATCTATACTGTGTTTAAAACTAAACTGAAAATAGAAAGACACGTGGTAAACTGTCTTGGTATTAAGTCGAGAATGAAAACAGAAATTAAGTTCAGCATCTAAGCAGCAGTTGTCTGGTCCTTCTTAAAACGTATTTGCAGAGCCCACATTCACAAATCACATTTGATTAAGAACTAAACAAGGTGTGAGATTCTCTTCCCTTACAGGTTCAGTGTGTAAGATTTCAGTGAAAGGGATTTATAGGCAGAAATTCAATATAAAATTTTAGTGATGTTTTATCTGAATGTATCTTTTCTTACCCTTGGATAAACCTTTTATATTTACGTCGAGAGCAAGTCCTCTCTACGGAGGCCACCATGTTTTGTTTTTTTTACAGTAGCCCAGTCTGGACAAACTAAACATCTTTTGAGTTTTTATGACAACTGAAGGATAACAATATTCTCTGTCATGTTTGGAAGGGGAGGGTGAAGTAAGCCGCAACAATAGATGCCACTAAACTCTACACATTGCCCCTTTAATAACTTTATTTACAGAGAACTTACAACAGAAACAAATGGTTAAAATACAAAAGTACATAAATAGATAAGACCAATAATATCTTGCTAGTTTTCAGTCAAGATTCAGGAGGTCACAGTCAAAACCTTTGCCTGAAGATCACAAGCAGAGCAGAGGTAAATAGAAAATGAGATACAGCCTGGGCCGGGCCAGGAAGATTCTGAAAAAAAGATATTTGTTCAAACTGCAATTATTTTCTACCTTGGCATAAGGGAATAAAAGCATGTATGATCATCTCTGCATGTCTCAAATGGATCCAATTTGGTAATAATCCTGTGACGGTAAAACCCAAATTGGACAATTTGTGATAACCCTCAATAATAAGGAAAAACTACAACAAGAAATTGCAGAAAAAAAGCAAACAAAGCTCAGAGAGTTACAAGTGAGGGATCCCCCTCTCAGGATAGACTGAAGTTCAATAGATGGTGCATATAAAACCACATAAACTAAATATTTGGATTCACAGGCTAAGACATTACAAGTTACACCCTTCAGAAATTCTCATCAAATGTCCATAATCATGATTGATTTTGGATCAACTTTATTGAGTAAAGTGTAAAATACCATAAAATGTAAGAACTTCATTAAAATCTAAAGCTTAACAAGAAACTACATAGAGCTTAATGCGTTTCAAATATACAATCTATGTACAAGCACAGAGACATTTGATCACAGGCGGAAGCGATCAGAGAAGTTTGGACTGTGAGGGACTGTTAGAGGAACTTCACTCTTCTTAACCAGAACAGGTTTGTAGTGTTTGATGGGCTGAGCCTTGTGAACCTGCAGAGAACACACAGAGGAAGAGTGTCACACACACACACAGAGCATCTGACACAGCCTATAGAAGCTATGTTGTAAAAACATTCAAGCTGCTAATCGGTTTTAATGCTCAGCAGGGATTTTTTTTAAATCAACATGTTGAATCTATTAACAAATTAGTTGCACATTGTAAGAAAATATGGATTCTCAACTGCTCTAACATGTTTATATCATAATTACAGATTAAAATACAGCTTCACTGTCGTCTCAAACAGTATTTTCCCTCATCTCCTGTCACAATGAACGGTGTTTGAAAGTGACCTGTTCTTGCCGCAGCCTGGTGATCTCCTCTTGTTGTTGCTGCTCCTCCTCTCGTCTCTGCTCCTCCTCCATGAGGTCCCTGAGAGCCTCCTTCTCGCTGACCAGTCGCTCGTACTCCTGACGCTCCCGGGCGCGTCGCTCTGTCGACAGCTCAAAGTTCTCCACAGCTGTGGAAGAGTGAGTAACTTAAGAGCAGTGACAGATATCNCCTCTTTCAGACAGATTTCAACCAGATCACTTTCATGGGCTGTTAAAGCTCTTTTTTCTAATTTCAAGTAAAAGTGCCCAGGTGATTTGTTATTTTTACAGTATGTATATGTACAATTTATTTAATGTGAAAATATTATTGTTCTCATTTCTTAAGATGTTAGTGAGAATTCTGCAGCATTGGTTGAATTAAAATGTTGCTGTATAATCACATGAACCAAACTAAGACTCTTTTCAGACCTGGTATTAACACCTGTCCCTAAAGTAAATGGTAAATGGTCTGTGTTTATATAGTGCTCTTCTAGACAGCAATTTCTTTATCAGACACACCACCAGGGCTGTGTTGGCAGCGTGTACGTGGGCAATCTGAGGTTCATTATCGATCCCAAGGACACTTGGACATGCGGAAAGGCTCCGACTGGGATGGAACCGTCAATATTCCAGTTAGTGGACAACTTATCTCCTGAAACACAGCCAAGTGATATCATTAGCAAATTCAGAATCTCTAACCACTAAAGCTATTCAGCTGTGTCTGAAGCGGAAAAAGTTTTTGTCAGGGGATTTCTCTGAAACCCATAAAAGTCTGCATGGCTAACAACATGTTACAGTTAAATGCTGATAGTACCGCGGTCCTTATCATTGCTTCAGATAGCAAAGCTTCAAGTGTCTTGATGTAGCTCTATCTTTCTTCAGCCGCACAGTAATAACTGTTTACTTTGATCATGCCCTTTGCACTCTAAACAGCGTAATAAATTATAAACCAAACTCAGGACTGTTGAATTACAACCAGAGTTATTCACACTTTTATAACATCCTGAATAGACAATTACAGTTCCCTGTTCAGCTGTAAATCATCTCTGGACTGCCTACAAATGATCCAAACAACAGGACTACCTCCGTCTTACCGTCTGGCACCTGCTCCATCTTTATATCACCAATAGATGGCACAAGTCAGTTATGGTCAAAGATTGTAGGCCCCAAATGCAGAGCACTCCAAGGATGTGAAGAGAATTCATTGTGAATCAAACAGGCTTACACAGGATCTAAACTGGGCCAGTAGCCTCAAAATGATTTAAAGAGTCAGGAAATGTAACATTAAGGAGGGTATAACACATCCACCACTGCCTGGTATACAACCAGACTCTGGTTTGTAGAGTGAGGACACCGTATCAATCATTATCCAAGTCTAAGTACGACCTTAATTAACCAGTTTCAAAAGTAGATGAACAGGTTTCACTGTACAGTAAACACACACACATACACACACATACACACACATACACACACATATACCCACCCATATTGTGTCATCTGCGTCACAGTCCTGTGGTTTAGCATTGACAGAGGAAATCCCAGCCTTAGACTGAAGTCCAACCGTTCACTTTAATAAGCGCTTCCTCATACGTTTTCACTTGCATCATACCACTGACTGCTGGGAAAGAGAACGAGTTTAGCTTGTATTTACTGATGGAGATATAAATTCAAAGTGATGTTGGCGTCAGCTCATTAACAGTTAACCCAGTGGATAAATAAGTTCTTACATCTGCTCAAGACAATGGAGAAGACGTCACAGCAAGCTAAAGTGGTGAGTATTGCTCCACGCTCTTTGTGTTTTGCTCCTTTATGATCAGCCTGACACTGAATTCTGGATAAAGATTGAGGTGCAATGAAACAGTCAGCAGCAGGTTGGAAGCCAGAACAAAACTTTGCAGTGAAATGTAAAGTGCAAGAAACTGACATTTCCTGTAAACACATGGCAACAGGAATAGAGAACTTTGATCTTGTCAACTTTTCACTTTTACTTCCGTTGGTAAGATCTACAACAGCACACCATTTTGATGTTGACTCAGGGGGGGAAGGAGTTAGATTTATTTGCACATTTACTCTACTCATGTGTTAAAAACAGTATGTGTGGACACAAAATGTGTGTGACCTCTACGAGCCACTGTGACTTCCTCTGCACCTGCTGCAGCGAGAACAGCCTTTCTGCAGTCAGCCTTGTAAAATCCAGAACTGATTATGGATTACCTCCTGAACACTTTAAACAAGTTCCATCTCATCAATTCACATTGCATTCTACTCACCAGTGTTCAAACCATGTCACTGTTTGTATCATTCCCTCTCTGTATAAGTGAAACAGAAATGATTTGATAGGGGCAGGAGCAGACTGATGTGCGGTTCAACCTGAACTTGGGACACTGACTCTACATAATTAGTAAATACTTTGTGGTAGTGGCTGATTCAAAAATCCCTGCAGTTTAGATACTCTTAATCTCATGATCATTTATGTCAATTTAAAAGGGGGGCGGTCCTTTTACTGTTGAAATCAATAAAACTGTACTTTACTTGCTTTATTATTTTATCTTTTGTTAACTGTCACAAAGTAGAGTAAACCACATATGAGTTTTAAATAGGAATAATAGTATATAGAAATGAAAAGTAAATTCAGAAATCAAATCACAACTGAAACTAAATGCTGTGGAAGCCATGGGAAGAGAGAATGACTGAACGTCACCATTTTGTAAACTGCAGCCAGACCAGATGAGGTTAATCTCCTTGACGACCAAACTCCTGCAGGGGAGAGGCCTCCTCAGAGAGTGTCAACAAGTTCACTTTCACATGTAGCTTATGTCTGTGTGTCTGTGTGTTAAAACAAAGAGGATTTTTACATTCATACCCAAATGGCAGGAATGAGGAACTGATTCTGAATTTTTTTAAATAATGGATTGTATATAATACAGCCTTGAAATGAACTACAGCCAACGTCTGTGAAAATACTGCACCACATTTTAGATTTTGTAATTAGTAATATATAATAAGTTTATGTATATACACTGGTAATCATGACAAATGCAGTGTTTGATTAATAAAACACTGGGGTTCATTTTACATTATGAGCACTTTTACTTAAAAACTTTAAATATTTATTAAAGTAAGATTTAGAATTTTTGCTTTGCAATTCAAGTTTGACCATTGTACTTCCTCTACCGCTGGTGTTGTCACTCGTGCGCTTAGTTAGTTATTAGCAAACAATTAACAACAATTTAGATGACCACAAACAATACATGTATATATGTATATGTATGTATATATATATATGTACTGACCTGGGGTCATCATGCCCCTTCAGGCTCTGACCCTTGTGGGCAGTTGTCATTGGTAGCCATCAAATAATATACTTATTAATTTAAAAAGTCAATTCACCAGTGATTGAAAAACAAGCGTACGTCCAGCATTCTAAATTTTACCGAAGCAAAAGTACAAAGTGTCATCATTGTAATATGTTTGGACGATCAACAGTAGAAGTTGTGGTTCTGCTGTGTGCTTCATGATATATGACACCACTGGCAGGAGTAAGGTTGGAAATCCAGTCTGTGTAATGAAGAAGGATGAAGAGAGAACCACATGCAGTTGAAACGTACATTCATGTCAGCAGCACAACGGAGAATACAATGAGCCAATTTGATTACAGCTAACTTTTAAGAGATAACCTAAAGAAACACTGCACCTTGGTCATAAAGTGTATTGTGGTTTTGACAGTGTAACAGCCTGAGGCCACCTGTACATTGAAGACGATCATTGTGGAACACACAATTGTGTTGTGGTTGTTTCCAATATCCAACCAACTGTGATGTTTATTTAAAATCTACTACTAACATTCTGAACCTGTCTGTTTGGAATCTTCTGTTCTCTAGTCATGTGTTGATGAGCTGCAGCTACTTCAGAATTATTCCTTGTTTCTTAGTGAGTCCTCTTAAAACAGTTCTACAATATACTGTCACTTTTTATCATTTGTGTGCTGGACGTTGTGTGCGGAGCTTTTCTATAGACAGTTTATGTTGCAGAGCGAAGTTAGAAAACTTTGTAAATCATCCAACCTGGTTTTATTCGCAGATTTTATAGTCAATGTTTTTATCAAATTAAACTATTACTATTCATGTGAGTTGCTGTTATTATATATTATAACTTTGAATAATTGACTCAACAAATTATTTTTTCATACATTTTTTTTTCGAACTCCGAATGTTGGCTATTTCAGAGGTTTGTTAAGCACTTGACACAATCATCAGCCGGAAGTTCACAACCTCTTGCAAAACTACTTTCTAAAGGGAAAGGGAGTCTATGAATGTTGTTGTCATGATTAAGGTCAGCACCTGTCCTATGTGTCTGTATGTCATTCCAATATGGCAAAACAAATATAATCCAATTAGCAAAATGATCTGGTGGCGATTCTGACCCTGCGGTTTGACCCAGTTGCCGACCGGTGCTGTAATTTATCCAAGGGTGTAGGAGAAGTCATGTCAACCAGTCCATTGACTGAAAGGACACTACCCCACTGACTGGTTTTACAGACATTCTTATTTATTTTGCTTACAAGTCAGACAATTGTATTTATTGTTGTATTTATATTTTTATGATATGTTTCCTGTATCATGGACCTAGTCTTATATTTCAAGAATGTCCTTATTTCTTTTTCTCTCAGACTGTGGAGCACCAACTGTCTCGAAACACAAGGAGAAGTTTCAGCTTCTCATCTCTTCGTATTAAAAGTATGATCAAGTCACACACGTTCACAGATGCCTTCATTTGGTCAAAGACAATACCTGCATCTTAGACAGCCTTTTAATTACTGACACCTCTTACTGCATGTCATGAATTTTCTACAGAAAGGCACAACAGCAGTGAAGAGGATGGATTTCCACGGCGGAGAGGGTTGCTGTCGTTTTCATCAGTGCGAGAGACATCAAGGAAGGGTAAACATTACACTTTCAAATTTCAGACAGCTCCTCTCACTGATTTTAATCTACCAAGGTGGTGACATTAATTAGACATTCTTGTTCAATAACATGACAAATCAGTTTGGTCCCTCATGAAGACCATCATCTGGTCACTGTTTTAGTCTCAGAACCGTTCTCCGATGGTGGTGGTGCCTCCCAGCGCCATGGTTCTGAAGCCCAGGTGAAGAAGACAGGTATGTTACAAGGTCACACTATTGACCGATCAACAGTTCATCCATGCTTAACTGTCAGTGTCTAATTCAGAATCTGCTTGGCAACCAGGTGACTAATAACATCCAATCTTATTCAAACAGGTGTAGCGTGCAGCTATTATAACCTGGCACTTTGAGGTGTGTTCAGTGAGAACACAAATGGAAATGTTTCCTATAGTGTTCAGTCTGAACACACCTTTACTCTGATGACATATAAATTAACTAAAATGTAATAATCATGCATTGGGTTGGGGGATTAGGAATCTTGTTGCTGCTTTGAATTTTTGAAAGCTCCCTGACAGAGCAGAGAGTTAAACATGGGAACAGACAGAGGCTGCGTGACAGTAATTTCTCTCAATAAAGGGTTTGAACCTGACACACACAAACAGGCAGGAGTCAGGATAGCAGGCAAAAACAGGACTCAATGAATACTACGTGCAGGGGTGGGGCTTCAGTATGAAGGCGACAGGTGTGATCAGGTGAGGAGGAAGCAGGATGGAGCCAACCTGCAGCCATATCCTGTAGCAGCATTCACACTCACACACAGGGGGAGACAGACAGGACACAAAGGGGAAAATGAAAAACAAGAGAAGTAGGAGGGAGTGATACAACAAACAGACAGAGGAGTCAAGAGCAAGACATAGTTGAGCTTTAGTTGAGCTTAAGTCTTAAAATAGAGCACAGAAAACAGTTCAATCCAAGGTATCCAAATCACTTAGCAAAGAGGAAGTTAAAAAACAGAAGATCAGTCCAAAAGCACAAGGAACAAAGAGCTGGGACATGTGACTCAAATAATACAATAAACTGTCAAACAGAAGAGGGACCACAAAGACTAGAGAGAGAAACTTATGAGGTGAAGGTGGAAATCAGGGTGATCAGCAGGTGGAGGATCACAGGGCGGAAAGTGAAATTTTCTGAGAATACGTTGTTTACACAAATTAAAACAGGAAATAATGCAACAGGAGAGGAACAAGAAATCATGGCCAGGTAAGCTGCCAATATATATTTGAATATATTGTGCCTACCAACATTACATTACATTACATGTCCACATGTAAATGTTGGGCAGCACTGTGTGTATGACTGATACACAAAATGAGATTGAAATAAAACGAATGTGATAATAGTATCTTACACCAACTTTCGCTGCTGTTGATGCATGGAACAGCCATCTTGGATTAAGAGGTCATGGCTGAAGAGGTTTGTCTGACTCTGAGTCTGAAATCCAATTTCAGGGGACGTTCAAATGGAATCCACCACTACTATACCTGCATAGACCAACCACAACCTTAAAACTAAAACAGTTTAAATGCTGTGTCTGATTGGTATAATGGTTTCCTTTAGGGTAAGTGTAAGGTCAAATATATTAAGTGAGGTGGACCATAGGCCTTTGCTGAACTTTTACTATTCTTTTAGAAATCTGCCCAGAATCCATTTAAAATATGCAATTGCCTCATTTGACCTTTGTTATGCAAGCCGTTCTGTGACACCAATATGAATTTAAAGGTTCAGTGTGTAAGATTTAAGTGAAAGGGATTTTTGGAAGATTTTTGGCAGCTGAATCTTTAAAGGTACAGTGTGTAGAATTTTGTGATATCTAGTGTTGAAATTGCATGTTGCAGCTGAACACCCCTCACCTCACCCTCTCCTTCCAAACATGAAAAAGAACCTGTGGTAGCTTCAGTTGTCATAAAAACTCAAAAGGTGTTTAGTTTGTCCAGTCTGGAGTAATGTAAAAAACATGGCGGCCTCTGTAGAGAAGGTCCCCTCGATGTAAATATAAAGTTTTTTTTCTGGGGTAAAGAAAACTAAAATTCATACACTTAGATGAAACGAACTAGTGAAAACATCATGAGGATTATTCTACATTAAATTTCTGCCAATAGTTCCCTTTCACCTAAATCTTACACACTGGACATTTAAGTCTGTAGCAAAAAGCTGGATGTTAGTTGGGAAATATGGGTCGTCCGCTAACCAGAAAGTCAATGGTTTGATCCCGGGCTACCTAACCATAACCCTGAATGCCAATGCTTGTCCTTGAGCCCCATATTGCACCTGATGGCTGTGCTGGCAGTGTATGAGTGATAAAGTAGAGATGCACTGTGTGAATGTGTGAAATACAGGCCATTTATATATATGTCAGCAACTTTGTTGTTGTGTTCTTTAATATATGTTTTATTCTTTACATTTTGATGTGCCTGATACCTTGCTTGGGCATGATATCTATCTATCTATCTATCTATCTATCTATCTATCTATCTATCTATCTATCTATCTATCTATCTATCTATCTAATTGGCCATTCACTTGTCTCAGCAGTAGGGGGAAGGGTTAATAAAGTGTGTGACATTCAGCTGCCTGACATTGAACAGGTTATTCGAAGGTAAGAGCTGCACTGGTTTGTTGCCTGCAGCTGGAGGGAAGGAGGGAGCCCGGCTGCTCTCTGTTTCTCTACATGAACTGAAGTTAACCCTCGGGTCCGTCCAGCTGTTGTTAAGTAAATGTGGCTGACTTGCTTGTTGTGTTCACTGGCAGTAAACCAAGGCTCGCCGTCTCAGCGATCCAAACTCGCAAACGCGCCGTTTTTTTTTTCCTCCGCTCGCGCCTTGAACGCAGCACAGCGAGCAGCTCCTCCGCTCTCAGACGGAGCTGCTCCTGCTGGTGTCAGTGGGAGGTGAGCACGCGGAGCGGGATGACATGTTTGAGCCGGAGAGGACACGATGAGAGCCGCCGCCGCCGCCGCCGCCGTGCCACTGACTCTGAGAGTGCCCGGGGGACCGAGGTGTGTGTGGAGCAGCCATGAGTGAAGCGGTGACGAGGAGGAGAAGGAGAGGAGGCGCACAGAACAGATGGAGTGAGTACTGACATTAACTGTGTGCGGGGACCGCTCCGGGGAACCACATACTCACAGTATGATCGGCGCAGAGGTACACGGGGACGAGAGGTAATGACTGCCTGGTTCAGTGGCGAGCCCGTAGCCTGTCTCAAACAGGTTTGGGAACTCTTATATCCGGGTGTCATGTGCTCCACCACTGTTCACACCTCCATTAGTTTACAAGCAGCTGTGTCCATCTGTAGTTCAACATCCAACAGCAGCTTCAGTCCAGTTTTATGAACAGAGTCACACCATACGTCCTGTGAAGACACTCGAGACCGTACAGATTTACAGAGAAACACAACGGTGCACACAGCCAGCGAACACCCAGGGGACCGTGGAGAGAACAAAGTCCCTCATGGAGGAGAGCTCCAGACCTGACTGTGTGTGTGTGTGTGTGTGTGTGTGTGTGTGTGTGTGTGTGTGTGTGTGTGTGTGTGTGTGTGTGTGGGGGCGAGCATCTGCCAAGACCGGTTGGGCTGAGAGGAGAGAGATGAGGGAGAGGAACAGTTTAAGTTGGTCCGACTGGTTTGTATGATGAAATGCCAAGAGTGATATTTATAGACGTGATTATGTTATAAATGATAGCATGGCCAGTTATTGTTATTATAATAAGAACACTTGTTATTCTTGATGAGTAGCCTCCTGTCAGGCCTTGGTGACGTGTAGTCACCTGGAATAGATTGACCGCAGGGGTTTGTTTCTTAGAGCCGTCAGGTTATCACTAAATTCAACACGCACTTTGGTGTGTTTCAGTTAAGTTTCAAGTTCTTTTGGTGTTTTGGGTGTCAATCCAAAGCCGGATGTTTGGTTGTAACAACTGCGTGTGCTTAAGCTAGTTTCCCAACTAAAAACAACGTATAGCCGATACGTTTGCCATCAGATCTTAAGTCAATCAACTTTGAGCTTTTTTAATGGATCCACGTGTGTAATATGGGGGATTATTTTTCTGCCTTAACAGCTGCATTGACAAATACATCTTTTTTTGCATTTAAATTGTGTCTTTCGGACTGGCTACACATTAGGTGTCATTGAAAGGGATCACTAGTGAAAAAGAAATGGAAAAGTTTGAATTCTGAAGCTAAAAATTGCTTTATTTGGAATAAAACTTTACATCCAATTAAAACGTCACATATACCTAAACACAAAGTGGGCAGGTTTTACTTTAAATCAACAGGTTTCATGTTTCCTGAGTTGAAATCAACCTATGAACAGGATTCTTTTCTTTTTAGGCCTCCCTCTGCTTACAGACAGCTTGGTGTTGTAACATGTTCAGCAGCCTCAGGGAATGAAGCTGTTCAACAGGGCTGTTATTTACACCCTTATCACGCCATTGCTATTGACAGAGAGCAAGCTCCTTGTCCTGTCAATAGAGGGTTTGGATATTTGACTTACTGTAAGTAAAGGTGGTTTCAGGAAACAGGGAGATGAACCAGGCCAAAAGTGAAACCAGAACAATGTGCTTGGGGATTTTTATGTACCGTTTGTGCTCACTCAGCTTTCTTAATTAATATGAAAGTCTAAGTGGTGATAAATGTGTGACCATGTTTGACAGCAGACTAAACATTGCAGTGACAACCACAAACCTAAAAGAATGCTGCTTGTGGTAAAGTGTTACCAGATTTGTCTTTAAGCGAGTCAGCAGGGACTAGAGCTAGCTGGTGACCATTGTACATGTTTGGCAGCTGAGTTTGAATCAGGTTTAATCTTTTGGTGAAGTTGTGTTTTAGCAAATTTCAGTCATTTGATTTGTCTGTTTTTGTAAAATTTTTTAAACAACATTGTAGTCCAGTTTTCATCAGCGACATGTGCATTTAATTTTCGTCGTACAATTTTCATTTTTTTGATTTCAGTGCATTTGAGGAAAGCTATGACCACCTCCACCAAAGTGGTTATGTTTTCATCTGCGTTTGTTAGTTAGCAGGATTCAGCTAAATCTGCTTAAACGATTGAATTAAAATGTGGTCTTACAAGGGGACTGTTGGGCCTTGGCGGAGGTATACACTCTGAGTGCCCCTCTTTTTACCTCTAGGAGGTTATAATGATTGATTTCAGCAGGATTTTGTAAGAACTACTGAATGGATTACCACGAAACTGGAAGTATGAGGTGTGGATTAGGAAAGAACTCATTACATTTTGATGCTGATCCAAAACAATTGGGCGGTTCACTCTTCACCTCATCTGAATTCACTTTAGCCCAAGCACGCAGATGAAGACAATGAATAACACTTCAGAGATTCATGCACTTTCACCTCTATGGGGCGCTTCTTAGCTATTGGCTTGCTCACCGTGAAACCTGACTACATAATTGTCTCTGTTAGAATTTGATCTTGGGATTGTTGGCTAAGAGCATTTGTCCTCGCAAGTTCATGATGTTTCCAGCTGTAGTGACGGTTGCCAGTGTTCTGTTTTGCTTTTCTATTTTATTACCGAAAAAATAATCAGTTTAAGATTGTTTCTGTATTAGATACGCTAAACCACTGCTGCATGTTCAATATCTAATAGATAACAGACAGCTTTTTCCCATGTGACTTGAATGCAGCACAAGTATAAAAATTCTTTCCTCAGAGCCTGAAGTAAACAAATGATTCACCAGAGTGCTGCTGTTGATGCAATGGATAACATGGAGATGTTATTGATGGCTTCTCGAGTACTTTGTGATGAAGTTGTAAATCAGAGGTTGTGAATCTAATATACAGTGTTGATAATTATTTAGGTTCATGTTATTGTTTGTGTTAAGCGTAAAGACTTATATTGACATTGACATTTTCAACTTTTCTGCATAACACACGCTCTAAACAACAAAACATTTTACAAATCTCAGAACTATTGTGTTATTCCTCCTCACTGTGTTTAAGGTCCAGTGTGTAAGATTTAGGTGAAAGGGAACCATTGTCAGAAATGTAATGTAGAATAATCCTCATGATGTTTTCACTAGTTTGTTTCATCTAAATTATATGAATTGTAGTTTTCTTTACCCCAGAAAAGGTCCTTTATATTTAAATACTTTATAAATGCATCATGTGGACCCTCTCTACGGAGGCAGCCATGTTTTTTACATTAGTCCAGACTGGACAAACTAAACACCTTTTGAGTTTTTATGACAACTGAAGCTACCACAGGTTCTTTTTCATGTTTGGAAGGAGAGGGTGAGGTGAGGGGTGTCCAGCTGCAACATGCTATTTCAACACTAGATATCACTAAATTCTACACACTGTACCTTTAACACAACGAATTATATTTATATTTATTTGTTGGAACTTTTGTTATATTGCTATGAAAATCATACTGTGATAATTATTGATAGTTGTAGCCTAGCCCAAATGTACAGTAGTACAGACTTGATAAGAATGTCAGTGTCCTTCCTGTTGGAGTTGCTGCAGTGTGCTCAGTACACATTGGGATTCATCTTAAGCCACTTCCGTGTCAGAGAGTTCCCAATGGCATGGTTAAAGCGTTTTGTGTATGTGTATCTGCAGGGTGTGTCTGTTTGCGCGATTAGTGGAATAAGCCAAGTCATTCAAGCCTGCGTATTAGTGTTTCCAAAGATTCATAAAGCAGGTTAGCAAGTAAGTCTGAGCTCCCAGTCAAGATAGCTCGCCGGCTTAACTTCGGCTCAGACTCAACCAGCGTTACAACCAGTTGCAACAAAGATGCTCTCAGACATGCACTGAACTCTGGATTCCTCCGGACTTTCTCTGGAGAGGCTGTATGTGTGAACGCAAGTGTCTAGGTGAGTGCCTCCGTAGTTTCAGCAGACTTTTTGGGGACTTTTTACTCAGGCACTGGCAGGAGGAGGTCTGCAGAAAGTCTGGACGCTCTCAGTTGGACATTTGGAGAATGTCAATGGAGTTCAGTGCATGTCTGAAAGTCACCATAGTCATCATCAAGCTGTTTTGGACCTGATGTCTCCACTGAGTCCTATCCTATATAAAGTCAAACAGCCTGTGTATCGTACACAGTGAAATAACTCAGCGATAGATGAGTTCATCTCACTCACTTCTGTTATTATGAGCTTCTTGATCAAATTACTGTGGTCTTGGTTCCTGACATGAATGAAAATACAGTGGCGAGACTGAGTGATGTGACCTGAATATTTCACAGTTGCTCATTTCCAGTGGCTCATGCTGCAGGATTCTGCGCTGAGGAATATGTGCAGTCTGAACACCTCTAAAAATAAAGAAATGCATTCATTCGAAGATTCAGTTCTTCAGTCACAAATGCAAGTGAAACAATTACACTGTTCAGCTTTGATTTAACAAACTTGGTCTTTAATTATTACTGACTTCAAATACAAACTTCAGACGTTGGTCCATTATCTGAGTATTTCAGACCTGTGAACTCCCATGTGTTTGCTTTAGGCTATTTGACTATTTGACTGCGTAAGTCAAGGTTAATAAGTAACTCATGGCTGTGACCTGAGTTTAAAGGTAATAATGCGTAGTAGTCCCAGCATTTTCTTTCAACAGGCACAGAAATACATTTTTAAGTGGGTATTTTGATTATTTCCATCACATGGAAATATATATGAAAACTGAGAGAGTTTCAGATCCTAAAAAATAAATGCAAATGCACTTGTTTTACTGCCTTAACATTATTTTTCTGTGGTCTTATTTTCTGCTGTCAAGTTGTTTCACATACATCTTGCACAATTAATTTCTGCATTTATTATCAAGAGGAAATTCACCTCTCAAATTCATAAAAGTCATGTCAATGTCTTCCTCACAATTTTCTGGTACAGAGTAGATTCTCACATTTTTCATGTGGGATTCACATTTTACAGTCTTAACTTCAGTCAAGTTTAATCATCGAGAATCATCTCTGTTTTCTGCAGTACTTGATTTTGCTGCATTCTTTCTTCTTTTCAATCCCCAACCTTTTTTCTTAACTGGTATATTTTTGAGTAATAATTGTTATGAATAATTATGGGATTACTTTCAGTATTTTAGAAATGCCTTGTATGCCTGCAGAAGGATTGGGACGTAAGCCAAGAAAGAAACCATTATCTTTTGGCGCAGATACAGACAAAGCAATGGATGCACGATTTTTTTATATCACTTTCTTCAACATTTAGAAAGTTTTTTTTTGACATTCTCCAATATTCCTGAGGGAATAATTCATGCTCTTGATAAACAAAAAAAACTGGCAGTCGTAGGGGACTGACATCTATGCAATCTGGTGCACATCCAAATAAAAATGTGGATCCAGCTGATTTAAATGTGGTTTCATAGTGGGTAGGGATCTTTCAGCTACTCTATGCTCCAATCCTGTAACTACTACTAATGTGTAGCTGAGATAATGTGGATTCAGTACGGCATCAACTGCTTATATGTATCCTCAAAAGTTAAAGAACCATGTCCAGATGAGCATGATGGATTTGGTATGGATTTTAAGTGGAAGGCTCTACTGGGTGCTATTTGAGTTTAGATGATTTTTTTCCCCCCTCAGTTTTGATTATGTTTTTTTTTTCCGTGGTGTATCATAATGCCAGCGGAATGGCAGCCATTGGAAAGACCCTGTCACTGAATCAAGATTGTTTTGTTGTCTTGTGTAGGTGAACAGCCCAGAGGGAACCTCATCTCTGATGTCGCTGGAGAACACGGTAAGTACAGACGCTGGAGTCCAGTAAGACTGTTTCTTCAGGATACATTTCACTTTTGACTGACAATATAAGATTGTTTCTTTTCATGTTACCTAGCATATAGTCAAAATTAGGTTTCATAAATGATAATAGGACTGTCATGATATCACATTATAGTGTCGCCAGTTTACGATATCTAAAGAAAGTTTTAAGAATAATATTGTTTTTTAAATTTTCTATAGATATCATGATATTTTTAATAATGCTATAAGTCAGTTTTATGAAATATTAAAACAGGGTTGTTTTCCTGTGGATGTATTGAATTAAAAGTAAAATATGTTAGTAAAAATATATAGAGGTAAGAAATGAATATACATGCTTTTTAAAAAAATCTAAATTCCTATCCTTTCTGCATTGCCTATTCTGTTAAATAAAGTTTTAACGTTAAAGTTAAACAGAGGAAGTGTGGGGAAGCTAATGTCGTGTGTTTGGGTGACAGTGTCATTGATGAGCAGCTGCTTCTTTTGTTTCTCCAACAGGTTCCATCCCACCAGATGAAAATGAAGGTGGTCGACAAGGGGCCCTCAAGAGGTTTAGCGCCATGTGGTCCTCCTTCCGCAGAGGCAGAAAAGACAGTGAGTGTTCCGTTGCAGCGACAGGATTCAGGCACATGTGGTCAAAGGGTTATTAGGCCTTGCACTGGCTGGTGGAACAGAAACAGAACAGGATCTAGTGTCACATGTTGATGTCAGAATAGTGCTGCACACACTGGGTGCTAACCTGGCTCAGTAAAAAAACAGGAAATACTGGTTAGACTCTGAGGTTTTAAATCTGTGAGGTGAGTTAAAGGGGTGAGGAGTAGGGAGAGATGTACTATATATTGCCTGAAGTAAAAAGAGATAGAGATAGATAGATAGATAGATACTTTATTGATCCCGAAATTCAAGCATCCAGTGGCAGTAACATACATTGAACATACATTAGAATTGACTTATACATTAGAGTCATAACACAGTATCCATACGTTGAAATTGGCCTGAGACGAATGTAAATTTAAACAGAGTGTACAGAGGAATTAAGGAAATTAAATTAAACATTTGTAGCAAAATTAAACTCTTACAGAGAAATTAAACATTTTCATAGGATTTAAATATATACAGAGGAATTAAAAATGTGCACGAGTCAAAATATTCAAGTTAAAAAATGTTCAGAAAATGTGCATAGAAAATAAATATAGAACTGTGGCAAGTTAACCCGTGCTAATCGTCGATACAAAAACTAAACTAAAATATAAAGTGACCGTGAGATTGGGATAAATGGGGATAAAGGACTGTGTGCAATTAAATTAGGCAGTAAACAGATGAATGAAATGAATGAATGAATGAAAGTCACAGTCACAGCATGTAGCAGAGGTAGTCAGACATGGCAGTGACAGAGAGTCCAGGAAGTAGTGCAAAGAGATTTGTCCATTGTGCCTCTTGCCATCACTAAAGGGCAGTGTGTGAAAGTAATTTTTTCATTATGTTATGTTATCACATGCAATATTCAATATTACTTACTCCTATTATCATTATTACTTACTACCACTTACCTTTTTTCATTACAATTAGTCACTGGTTCTGTATTTACTCCATATACAATCAAGATATTTATTTTATACTTGATTTTTTATCTTCACTCATATTTTTCAGACGTAATACTCTATTCTCTGTGCTCTATTCTCTTGTCGTTAGTTTGACCCACTTATTTGGCTGCTTATCAACACAGAGAGCAGCTGGAGCTGCAGCAGTACTCATAGGTTCTCCAGCATCTGATATCTGGAGGTTAGAAAGTTACACTCCTTCAAGTCAACCACCTCGATCCAGTCTGAACACACAGACATGATACACAGATTTATATTCAGAGTGTGTCTGACATACACTTTCTGAAGACATTGTCCTGTAGCTAATGAATAAATGCCCACGAATCTGCTCCGAAATAAAAAATGTAGCGCTTATCTGACTCAGGTAGAGTATTCTAATGAAAGTTGTCTGCACAGTGACAAGAGTGTAAACTCATGATACACACTTTCTCCACTGTTCTACAATTTGAAGAAAAAAGAAAAGAAAACCGCACATTTTGTCTTTACACCTCTGAAATAGATAAAAAAAAAACATCAAGATGTAAGTGAAATCCACACTTTCAGCTTTAATTAGAGGGTATTAACAAAAACATTGTATGAGCTGAAATTAAAATCATTTCTACATAACCCCCCCTGTTTTCAGAGGCTCATACGTTTCTGACTGACCATTTTTATGGCCCGTTCCATTTTCATTTCATGACAAATAGAGCAGACTAGTAAATGCAGGAAAAGGAGGCTGCTGACCTTAGATAAAAAAAACCCTCCTTGCTGGTGTCCTTTTGTTTTGAACAAAAAGAGAGGAATGCAGCAGAGAACACATGAGCAGGCTGGCAGAGTGTGAGGGAGACAGGATGAAGCTGGGCTGTTGATGTGGGGGTGACTGATGGTTTCTGAGCAGAACAGTAGAGTGCAGTCAACAGGACAGATTGGTAGGTTGAGACAGAGGCCTGTAGACCTTTCTGTTTGGACTACAGCGGTAACCCTGCACAATTTGTTTCTACACCCTGTGAAGGATCGAGAGACCCAGAGTCTGCAGAGCCACTAGGCCCAGAAGTGGAACCCAACACTTCCAGGCAGCCCCGCTACGTCAGTGGTCAGTACTTCTTTGAGTATCTGGTGGTTGTCAGCCTCAAGAAGACCAAGGGTGGAAGCAGCTATGAGCCTCAGATCACCTACCAGTTTCCCAAGGTCAGTCTGACACTGTCACACCATGTAGACACAAGAGCTCAGCCTGACAAAGTACACCTGAGGTGTTGCTGAGTGAGACAGATCACAGTAATACACAGTTGTACGTAGTATATTATCCACAGTTGATGGTTTGAAATACATTTTAAAATAGTTTAAAGCAAAATAACTTATTGATTTTACTCAGGCTCAGAAAAGTCCTGTGTTTCTATTCATGTAACATTTGTAACACAAATGCAATAACTATATTGCTGCTACACTCCTCTGGTGTCCAAATGAAACTGCACAGGAGCCGTTTCTGTCGCTGTAGCATGGTCGTTATGACCCGTGTGGAAACTTAACCTGCTCATAGTTTTGTTTCCAAAACATGAAACAGAGCAACAAGTAAAAGATTCTGATTCTAGGATTACAGGACCAGTGGGGGCACTAGCTACATCCATACTAATACGTTTTAGAACACAGGGTCAGCATCACTTGTAACTGGTTATCCCTGTTGTGCTCTACAGTGGTAGTTGATGCCAACGCAGGTTGTTTTCTTCTGGGAGGGGGTCATGTGATAGGAGCTTAACGAATCCGCAAAGGCCACATGATAACTGGAAAGACCCAACCAGCAAGTGGTTGTGAGTGTTTACATCACAGTTTCCAAACATCCCTGTTTCTGCCCGACCCGACTTAAACATTGTCCCGAAGTTTTCATACTGAAATGGGACCAGCAGCATTTCCAAACTCCTCTGTTTTAGCGGCTCTTAAACTTCGGAGTAGTGTGGACACCAGGTGTATCTGTAGCAGAAATGATGTGGTAGTGTGGATGTAGCCATAGTCTGCCCCTTCTTCTGTCATAACTATGTCCCAAAATAATTAAATTCCCAGCTTAGCAATGTCAATACTGAGTGTATGTGTAAAATGACCACTATGAAGCAGACAAATATGTTGATATTATCTACTGTGTGTGTGTTTTCAGAGGGATGGGATGGCCAGATATCAGAAGGAGGAGGAAGAGAAGACTCTAAAGGCAATCACACTGTTTTGTTTCCCAGAAGGCATCAGCTGGGCTCCTTTAACAGAATACCACAGGTTTGTCGGCTCCTTTATTACTCTGACAACCTTAATTCCTGTGTTTGTGCTTCACTCTACACTAAAGTTCATATTTTTTACTTTTTCAGTTGAAAAGAGGTCAATCCGACCCTGTAACAGACAGACATTAAAATGGGTCTTTATTTCTTTAAATGTCAATCCTCTCCTTTTATTTCAAACACTAAAATCTAAAAAAAAGGAAAAGTCACTGTGCCAGATGTCTGGATAGCATCAACCTTTGCAAACACTTTCTGTAGCAGAGTCTTTCTCTTGTTGACTAAAGAATGTTCTTCCTGCAGTCACGAAAGGCTCCAAGATATTTTTAGGTTGTTTAAGATCTACCAACAGTGATGTTCAGCTCAGGGGACTGAGGCCTCTTTCCACCTTCAGTGTTTTAACTGACTCATTTGTTCTATTGAATCTACCTGTGCAATGTTTCCCATCCCACTGGCGGCTTCACAGCTGCACAGCACAACATTTCGGCATTTGGCAAAATAATTTGTCTCATCAAAAGCGTCTCCAAATGCATGTTTGGAGATTTTATCTACAGCCCTTATTTCCACTCTCTCCTATCCAGACGTGTTTTTGCAGACTTTTCAAAGCTCACTTCTCTGATGAGGTCACAGCGAAGATTTCCTTCTCATGACTCTTTCTTGTCAAGATGCAAATGATCCGTGACATGAGTGGCAGTGGAAAATTATAGCTGGAAGCACGTTGACATCTTTTCTGCAGTCAGTTTTGTTACCACAACAGTCTTGACTTTGGCTACATCCATACTACTACTCTTTGTTAGAAAACAGTGTTTTCTAGCTAAAATGATCTCTGTTCACTCAAGCATTTTGGGTCTTTAACAGTTTTAATCCCTGTCAATACAAACCGAACTGTCATGTGACAACTCACGGACACTGGGCATGCATGTGCCGGTGCACACAAGAAGTATTTGGTGGTTGATTGCAGATTTTTCACAGTTTACTGGAATAATAGCTCGTCTCCGACACATGTAAACAGATGTAATCAACAGCTGAGCTGCATGACATGTGCTGGGTCAAATAAAGCCTGATGAGTCAATGAAGTTCTCAGTTTTACAAATACAAAATCACGCCATCATTACTGATGCATTCAAAGTTTATGAAATAAAAGGTAACAGCAGAACATTGATTTCTGTTTGCTGCTGAGCCTTTTCTTTTACGAAATTTACAAAAAAAAAACAATTTCTGAAACTTTCATACAATGTGAACTGTGGTGTGAAGCTCTGTTTTCATCTTCTGTCTGTAGTGAGACCTTCTCCTTTGTTCTGACTGAGATTGATGGCAGCAGAAGAAATGGATACTGCAGGAGGTTACTGGTCAGTGTCTTCTCTGAAACAGTCTTACCGTGTGTCATCATTTTAAAACTCACGTATTGCTCATTAACTATTCTCTATTTTCACTCTCCAACCTGAAGCCTGGAGGGAATGGAGCTCGCCCACCGGAGGCGTACTGCATCATCAGCAGTCTGGCTTGTTTCGGCCTCTTTTCCAAGGTGAGCTCAACTTTTAACATTTGTAAAAGAGGAAATTATTATGTTTTTTTCCAAATATTTATCTGGCTCAGTTAACTGTAAGTCTGACATTATAACAGGGTCTCAAACAAAAAAGACAAAATAATATCTATTGTTCTGGTCCTTATTTCATCGTCATTCAACACTGTTTACACATGATCAACCTTCACATGCTATTGACAGGTTGACTTAATGAATATATTAATCGAATTAATCTCATCTATATATCTAGATCAATCAATTACAATTTTTCAAGCGAAATGACCGCATGTTTGGTTTCCTCAGTTTCTCATTTATAACATGTAACACTAGATGTTACCACTGTGGGTTGTCTCGGCTTTGGATTGAGCTTTTTATTGCCACACAAAGAACACAACAGAAGAACGCTGCTCCACTGTGCACCTTGCTGCCTGACTGTTCTGTCACACCGTTCTAAACTGGGGAGTGATCAACTAACAGCAATTATTCACCCCAGCACTATTCACCCCACTCTATGGTGTGGAAATAAATCTGATGATTTTTTAACACTGCCTTTTATTCAAGAAGAATCACATTATCTCACTACCATGTTTCATTTGGTCTGATTCGTTAGTGTTTTAGTTGGGAGATATTATCATTGCCCCATTACTGTGTGTTCTCCTCTCTGTGTGCAGATATTTGACGAGGTGGAGAAGCGGCGGCAGATCTCCATGGCTATGATCTATCCATTCATGCAGAAGCTGAGGGAGGCCCCATTCCCAGCTCCGGGAAACACTGTGGAGATTAAGAGCTTCATTCCTGAGTCGGGCACTGAGGTCAGACCTAAACCCCTCCTCCTGCTCATAACAGTCCACATAAAGTTTGATGATGCTTGTATCAATAGTGTTTTTTCTTTATTGACACAGTAGACTATGCAGATCCACATAGTTGTTTCTCTTCTCGTCTTGGTAGAATCTCATCAAGAATAGATGGGTTTAATTCCGAGTTGTCTGTAGTTTTATCCCTTAGCCCAATGTTACTCAAATAGTCACTTCCCTTTGTTGGCAAACTAACGCTGTTTTTAGATATGAACTCAAGAGGATGTCCGCAAATTTTTGATTCGGACTTTCTCTGGAGTTTGCCTCTCACACATGAATGACGCAGCAGGAGATTCTCTGCTCAGATGTGGCGCTGCACGCAGTGGCAGGACGTAATGTATTAAGCCCAATTCATGCTCCTGCGTCCAAGCTACGCCGCAGCCTACGCGTAGACGTGTATCCTACACAGAGCACTACGCCATATCCTGTGGGTGATCGCATCTCCAGCAGACTACCCCCATTTTTGCAGTTCTTTAAGAAAAAGAAATTGCTCTTCAACATGAATGGTAATCAGCTCCAACTCCTACAAGATCCACTTATTAACACTCACCATTGCTCAACACCAGCATAGAAGCTCCACGGCCACTAGCATTTCGGTGGTGTAATTGCAGCGTTACTCACACACACACCTACGCACTATGAATGCTCAGCCCTGTGTGCTTGGTTTGTATCAATGGCTTCGACACAGAAACAAGATTCAGCCTTTAACTCTGCTCAAGAGATCACATGTTTTTGTTAATAGCACATAGACACTAGCGTCTGCCTTTTTTGCCAAAAACTCTCTTCAACTTTAACTTCTAACTCTCGACATCTTCGCCTGTGTCCACTACATGTGTGATGGCGCTTTTTCATCCTGAGATATTTGTTTCCCTTTTATTTTTTTTTCTGTTTTGTTGCATGTTAGAAACATCATCAACAAACAAATTCGTGCAGCAGTTACTTTCTTGTGGCATCACACTCAAGGTGCCAAGCTCAAAATGATCAAAAGTAAAATCCCTTACTGCTGTAATCCAGGTTATAAGCAGGGATGGGCAAAGGCACATCCAACCCTTTTTGTAAGTGTATCAGAATAAACTACAAAATACAGCAGCCACGCTATGTATCAAAATAAACAACTGTATTTTTGTACCTTTAAATACTAAAAAATACTTTACCAATAGGAGCTTTAGGGGCTGTAACCTCCAGACTGGAGAGTCGCTCCAGCAGATCCCAGGTACAACATCTGAAGCCTCTGTCCAGTAAAGCGCAGTCCTAGGAACAGCTAAAATACTGCACAGAACCCTCAAACTCCCAGGCCTCTGGTAGAGGACCTAAAGCTTGAGAAAGACATACTTCCCCATGTCAAGTGTGGGATGTGAAAACATTTTTTTATTTTTTTTTATTTGATCTATCAGTTGAATAAGTGAGCCACTGCAACAGACCTACAGTAACGAAGGTCTGTGCCCACGCAATAGCACAGAGTCATTCTCACTAAACACAAAGATAAACACTAAGTTACACACTTGGACTTGGAGAAGCTGTGAGGTACAACAAATGCTAGTGGTGGATGAGAGAACAACCTGTTGTTTCATGGCTTTGCAGCACAACTTTGTTCATGAAAATAAGGCAGAAACAAAAAGTAGCAGGCTAACATCGACTGTGAGGTCTGCTAAATAGTTAGCTAGAACACTTGAGTAAACTTGATTTAGCCTTGGATACTAAAACCAACACCAACACCTAACAGGAACTGTTAAGATTTGTAACAATTGGGTCTCGCTTCGTTCTGGATCATCAATTTTCTGAACATAAATCTTCTGATGAACAAGCCTGGTCAAGTTACTGAGTAGACACCATTCAGAGGCTTCATGCATTGATTTTAATATTTATGAGTCATCACATTGACGTCCCACAGAACAAAAAAATATAGGTATTTTGATTTAAAAAAATATGAATCAATTTTTATAGATACACGTATCATAAATACTGCCCACCACAGGTCAGGTTGCAGAGAATCTCACAAATCCTTATAATTTCACTGCTTATTGACTGATCTGCATTTGCAAAGGCTATGGATGGTGAAAAGACTGCTAAATCAGAGATGTAAGGCAGCCTTCAGTGATCAGTGCAAGTGGTTTCTTGCTGGCTGGGACTGGGACTTCAGCCAAGCTGTAGTGAAGTAGTATGACTACATTCGGTGACACAAGAGGAAAACATTGAGCCAATGGAAAGACAGAAAGTTGTGGGCTGAATCAGAATCAGAAGTACTTTATTAATCCCTGTAGGGAAATTCAAATGTTACAGAGCCCCTTCCAAAGAGCTGTGTGGACAGAAAGACAGTCCCTTGCTCTGATACTGATATTCATGAGGCTGATGTGTCATTACTGATTGTCCGCCATGTCTTTGAAGATTGTGATTGTAGATGATACACAACACTCCCACAAACCCCCGCACACAGTGAAACCCAGTGTCACATGAGATCCTCCAGGTGGGTGTGTCAGTGTAAAGCTGTGTCTGAACCTGTCCTGCATTACCCAACCTGTAGCTCACAGGAGAAACCTAACACTTCTCCCATCAGGCCACATACCACGTCTCAGCAGCTCTGTTATCTCAAGTATTCACTATGGCCATCGTTTCTGTGACCAGCCCTCGGGCTCAAAGAGGGGCACATACCTGGTTTCCTGACACCGTTAAGACTCTGACCCCCTGCACACCTGGAAGCATTTGTCCTGAGTGATCTGATAATAAGTGGTCAGTGCTAATTACAGGACTGAACACACCCAAATGTGTCCTGAATGCATCTTGAGATCTGATCACTCAAGCCATGGGGTGTGGGACAAATGTTGCCACATTTTTCACATGAGATCCAATCAATCCCTGCTGACTCTCGCTCATGACGACACACACACAAACAAAGCGACATTGTTGTAGAGCATAGGACAAGATGGTGTATATCCCTTGTACATTCAAAGGTCTTTCCCACAAGTTTAGTGTTAAGTTACCAACCACTATCAGATGTTAGGGATCACCAGCAGATACTGTATTAGTGACTGCCAGTGGATGTTAGGGGCATATCATCAGTTTTGTACCCAAGCATCATCAGGCATTTCCTCCTTTTACTCACAAGACCCCCTTTGCTGAGGCAGGCCCCCCAGAGGCTGATCAGACCTGAGTGTGTGTCCCTAACATCCTGGGGCCTGGTAAGGACCTTTCATGCTGATCCATTGGCTTCAGCATTCAGCAATCCCCTTTACTTCTCTTATGTACCTGACAGTGGACGTTACACTAAAACTCTTGTAGCCAACTTTACAATCAGCTATTTGCAAACACAAAATGTTGGGTGTTTTGTGCATTAAAAACTAAAAATGTTGTGCCTATTGGGCAGGGAAGTGAGATCTGATCGCAAGTAGTCACAGGACACATATTCAGGATGTATGTTAATGACAGGCATGAACACACGTACTTAACACTGACAACTGGTCAGGTCTGTCAGGACAGATTTGAGTGATGAAGATGCAGTCATCATGTACATTCATGTAAAGTGTGTTTAAAAATCTTAGTTAAATGTAATAAATCCTGAAAAGCACTGAAACTAACCTGCATCTAACCGTTTAAGCCACTGATTCTCAAACTATGGTTTGCGTACCAACAGTGGTACGCAAGTTCCCTCTATTGGTGAGTGGAGGAATTTTAGAAATCTTATATATTATTATTATTAGGAAAACATGCGATATGCGGTAATGTTGTTTGATATTGCGATGACCATTTGACTTGCGATAAATAAACAAATAATAAATAAATATATGGTCCCTGGCTATGGACGCAGAGTCCACGGACATCTCCAAAGCCGGGAGAAGGTGCACTGCCCGGCCGCAGCACAACCAAGTCGGGGCAGAAACCAGGGAGCCATGCACAGCTCCACTATGTCCACTTACAGTGTTAATGTGGGGGATTTTCATACATGTTTGGACCGTGTAAAGTATTTTTTTTTTTTTTTTTTACAATTTTTAGAGAGACACACACAGCAGCTGAGTCTGTGTGTGTCTCTGTTACTTTTCCCTCAGGTTCTGGGATCATTAATAAGCTTCACAAGTCTTTTGTATAATAAACCGCTCATAAAGATGAATTTAACTCGTGACAAACGTGATCACTAGTACACAGTAGAGTTTAGTTGGAGGAGGCGTAACGAGATTTGACAGAGCTGCATCTATATCTATACACCAGTGTGTGAGTGTGCCAGTCTTAGTGTTACACTTTTGTACAGCGTGGCTGACAACAGTCAACAATAAATCATTCTCTTATTATTAATAAACCTTCCTCTTGCGTGAACTGTCTGTAGCTGAATAGGTTAGGCCTACGCTACTGTATTTTAATGTTAGTCATAACAGTTTTCACTCTCCATCAGATCATCAGTCTGACGCGTCCACTGGATTCCTGGCTGGAACATGTCAACTTTGCCGCACTTTTCGAGTGCCTGACAGATGATGAGGTGTTACTGGTGTTCGCTGCCGCTGTCCTGGAGAGACGGATCATTTTCATCGCGGATGAACTGGGGTATTGCATAATTACCTGGACACTCACCTAATAAATAAAAGAAGTGTGGAATTTATTTATTTAAATACTTGTTTTTGAGATTGGACGCATCACATTGATTGAAGTGTGGAGATGTAATGGCTCCGGCGAGTTGGGAATGGTCTTCATATAGAACTTTTCTTGTCTTGATGACCACTCAGAGAGCTTCACAGTACAGTTTTGCCATTCACACATTAAGACAGTGCATCTGTTTGCAGAACTTCCTCTATTTTACATCCCTGACACACTGTCAGCACAGCTCTGAGGGGCAATTTGGGGTTCTGTATCTTTTCCAAGTACACCCGACCTTCTGCTCAGTGGACAACCCGCTCTACCCCTGAGCCACAGCTGCTTGAACCCATGCTCCTAATAACCTCATAATAAGCCAAAACTCAAAAACCTAAGGAAGAATTAAATTTTTTACAATCAATCAGATGTGTTCATCACAGACTATTTGCTCTTAATCAGCTGTGATGCTGACTCTCCTCTCTCTGCAGCACATTATCCCAAGTCATTCATGCAGTAGCAGCCCTCCTTTACCCCTTCACCTGGCAGCACACCTTCATCTCCATTGTTCCAGAGATCCTGATTGATGTAGTGATGGCACCCACTCCCTATCTGCTTGGAGTCCAGAAGCGCCTGCTGGACCTGGTCACAGACCAGAGTGATGTGAGTTACCATTACTTAAGTAATTGTTAACGTCAACAATGACCCCTCCATGCACATGCAAGTTAGTCATGGAGTTCCATAAGGTTCTGTCCTTGGACCAATACTCTTCACCTTATATATGCTCAGCCTTAGGCAACATCATGAGAAAGCACCATGTACTCTTCCATTGTTACGCAGATGACACCCAGCTGTACATTTCTATGAATCTAATCACTTAGTTCAACTTCAGGAATGTCTCAAGAACATCAAGGCCTGGATGACCCAAATCTTCTTACTTCTAAATTCAGACAAAACTGAGGTCATTGTAATCGGCCCTAAACATCTTAGAGAATCACTGTCTGAACAGATAGCTACATTGGATGGTGTCAGTTTGACCTCCAGCTTCACTGTGAGGAACCTTGGAGTTATGTTCGACCAGGACATGTCATTTGACCAACATATAAAACAAGTCTCTATATTAATACGATTTTAAGGTCTGGACCTTCTATGTAAAGTGCCTTGAGATAATGTAAATTATTTGGTGCTGTACAAATAAAATTGAATTGAATTAAGTTAAAGGCAGGACAGACATAACTGGTGAATTCAAGAGCGACGTCCTCATTCTGTCCCTGTCCTCTTCTGTGACACAGCTGATGGTCGACTTGTCTGAGGATAAAAAGAAGACCTTCATTTTTTTGGTGAGTGTTTTGTTTACTAAACTGTCGCCAATCTTTTCGTTGGTTATTAGTTATAATTTTGTAAGGTAACAATAATCTTGTCCAAGTAAAAATGATTGTGTAAACCGAGGGCACAAATGGAGTGCTTTCAGAACCCTTCCCTTAAGTAGAGGTACAGATCAAGGATGCCGTTTATCAGCTTCCTTGTTTCCATTGGAAACCTCACCAAACCCTTTCCTTAAACAAATGAACTCTTTTCCTCCTTTATCTGGTGTAACAAGGTTCACAGAAAGAGAAAATTATGACATCAACCTCGAGAGGAGGGAGGCATAAACCTCCTCAATCTGGAGTTTTACAGCTCAGCTCAAATGTTTCAGTCGTTTAAACAAGAAAGNCCTATATTTAAATTTTCCTATTGAAACTAAAGAGTGAATGTGTTTCCTTGAGGCAAATTTGATTAAAGTAAAAGTGACCTTTAACTCCACACAACTCAAATATAGTTCATGAGATTCATTGTTTTTGTCGTCTCATCTTCTTCCTCTGTCTATTTCACCACATGTACTTGGGACATTTGGTTATAAAGCTATCTTCCCTATTTATAATCAAATATGTTCTAATTATAATTAACAATTTTACCAGAATAGTGGAGGAATATTCAATGAAAACAGAAAAACAAAGCAACATTTAATTTTTGCCTAAAAAATGAAAGAAAATTTAAAAGTCTTTATTCAGTTCTATGGGAGATAAACTCATCAGCTCACAGTTAAATATCACCAAAATAATAAGTCTTGTCTCAATTGTACACATTGCACTTCCTTCTTTTAAAAAATATCTGTATGGCTATTTTGTCAAATATCAGTGAATGTTAGTTGAGCAGTAAATCAGTTACTGATGATATTCATCACTGTTTAATTTGTGACATAATTTATATTGTTGGTCTTGTGTTAATCTTTAAATCAAAAATAAACATTCTCAGGTATAAGACCAGTGAATTCCAACTGTCTGGTCGGATGCTGTGTCTGGCCTGTATAGCTGTATGGGAGACTTCATTTTGAAGTAATATGTTCTAACTTGATTTTTTTGTTTCTGTGACTGACTTCTTCTTTTTCTTCTAACCTTGAAACCAACATGTTGTCTCGTGAGGTGCACTGCTCTGTCTTACCTGTGTCTCGGTCAGCATGAGTGAGGTGGCCACTTCAAAGCGTTTGGGTCTGGACAGGTACTTGTTGAGTTTGAACTGGTTCTCCAGCTCCAGGAGCTGCTGACTGGTGAAGGCGGTGCGGGGCCTCCGGCACTTCCCCAACAGTCCAGACTGAGGGCCCGCTGGAGGAGGAGAGGGAAACATTAGTGCTTGCTCATTGCTGGAACTGCTGGGTTTCTCTATACATTTTAAGACCTCGACTTTAATATGTTATGATTTGGGGCTTAAAAATTAACTGAATTGAATTCCTTTTATTTTAGCTCATTCATTTTCTGCCATGGATTTTGTGAAGCACTTGTTTGTTTATGTAAGTGCAATACAAATAAAGGTGCAAAACTGGATCCACATTAGATCCAGTTTTTACAATTTATAATTTTCTTTAACATTAAAATATTTTTTTTACATTTTCATGGATTTCTCAGGGATTATTTCTGATCAATAAAAAATCAGACAATTTAGGGGACTGATAAATGAGTGTGTGAACTGTGGTGCAGCTTGATTTAATTAAATTTGCACCTTCATGGACATATGTGCTCCACTGTCTGATATCTGCCCACAGATCCTCATTCACTTGATTTATTTATACTCACAGTGTCTTTTTTGAAATAGAAGTATTTGGGGATATTTAGGTTCAGATTCAAGTCTTAAATGAGTCTGGAGTATTTCACCAGACACTTCATGAGTCTTATTTATGAAACACCAAGGACATGGAGGGTTCAATATAATTTTGTGGCTGGGAACAGGCGCACATATGCCCGCAGTCTCTTCCATCATTAACCATAACGGCTTTACTCCACTTTATTGTTTGCAAGGGGGGGCACACAGCAAGAGCGGGCACAGGGGCCATAAAAACACAGGCATGCCATTAACTTAATGAAAATTCAATGAAGGCTTTGGGGATTTTATTGATGAACTACAGAACGTTTTAGGTGTTTGTTTATAGTTTCCTCATCGCACAAAGACAATTCTCATCTGGTTGGCGTTTATAGAGAAATGAATGAGCCAAAATGAAAATATGACAGAGATGAGTCGCTGTAGCTGTTATCAACACTCAAACAGGCTGAATAAAGACAGAACATATCGTGTTATAAAAAGCCTCCGGAAAAACAGGCTGTAAATTATGATCATACTGGCTGTGAAATAAATTTAAGACATGATTCAAGAAATTTATAAAAGTGTCTTAGAAAAGCTCCATGACGCAGAAACCATCTGCAGGCGAATAGTGTAGCTGTGGTGTTATTTACAATTGAAAATTTAGATAACAGGAAAAGTTGACCTTGAAAACAGAGATAGGTGAAATGTGAATATGATAAAAAGATACAATTGCTGTATACAACATTCTTATCAAAGCTGAGAGTACAACAGATGCAAACAGAAAATGAAAGGAATTCACTTACAAAATTACTGCAAATGAAATCTTAACATCTTATCTAGTATAAACTAATGACAAGATTATACTACAGTAGAGACAAAATATACAAGTTTGAATCCACCTCTTCAGGATGGTTTTAAAAACGTTACACCCTCGCATACATGCCTCCCTGTTTTGTGAGAAAATTCAAAAGACTTTTTCTCGATGTAAAATGGTATTTTTACCGTGGATTTATCTCTTTGAAAGTGTACCCAACTGGATAGCAAATTATTTTTTTGTTTTTAAAGTTTATAGGATGCTCATTTTGCCATACTTAAAAAATAAGGAAGAAATTGGATTTCCTGAAGTGTAAAATTGTAAAATCCTCCTTTTCCAGACTGGTGATGAAGCCTCTATTCTGCCCCCAAAGCTCCAAACAGAAATACTAGAGGCACTAAGAACAAGAAAAGAAGCATCAAGTGAGTAAATAAAAAATATCAATCAGAGACAGTGAGGGGCAGAAACATTGCTCCATCATCACAAATGTTGTCTGTCCTTTCTCTCAGCGGCGGAGGAGCTGAACCGAGTGGTGTCGGAAGCCTTCCTGCTTTTCTTTGTGAAAACAGTCGGACATTATGCCTCATATGTGAAATACCGTCATGGGGCGCCGGGAGTGTTTGAAAAGAGAAGCTTCTACAAGGCCATTGAGTCCAAGACCACTCGACACTTTGTCAAGAAGTTCATCCAGACACAGATGTTTGACCTGTTTATCCAGGAGGTGGAGCAGCAGCAGTCTGGGCCGCAGCAAGGTGAGGAGACATCACACACACAAATGATCCAAGTTAAAGATGAGATAATATAAAAATGTATTGATCCCACACCGGGGAAATGTACTTGTTACAGTAGCAGACAGTGAGAATGAGACAAACCAGACGCCCCGATTCCTTGTAGGACTGCAGTAATTCAGTCAGCTGACATCGGATATTCACACTGCAGCTGTTACAGCTGTTTTTGAAATTGAATATGCAGTATATATTTATGAATGTTAGTAATGTTTATTTATGTCGTAATAGTTGATTATACTATCAAAATAACTTCTAATGTTGTTTTTTATCAATCATCAATGATTTCCTACAAGACACATTTGTCTAATTCCCCTCCGCCTTATATTGCCTCTTTGTTTGATTGTCTATACAGTGAATGTTAGTTGTTCCATGGTTGAGATAGAATATTCAACGTCACCCTTTAGACATTAGGTTACTCAATTAAACAATGCAACGTCACTTCTTCTCCAAAAGTGATGACCACAGTGTGAACGTCCCCAGGGACACGTCCAACCCCTTAAAAACAGTGGTCAGAGAAAGACTCGGCTCACTTCACCTTTTTAAACACACATACAAACACTTCACTTCTTTTACTTCATCCTCATTCTTTTGCACTTTTACTTCACTTTACTCTTCTTTCACACTTAGTTAGCATAGCGTATTTAAGTGTGTCACCATTCAAGTTTATCTATAGCATTACTTTCTATTATGTGTGTTTAAGCAACTTTCCTGCACAATATTTTATTTTTCTTTAAAGGTGCAGTGTGTAAGATTTAGGTGAAGGGGAACTATTGGCAGAAATTTAATGTAGAATAATCCTCATGATGTTTTCACTAGTTCGTTTCATCTAAATTGTATGAATTGTAGTTTTCTTTACCCCAGAAAAGACCCTTTATATTTAAATACTTTATATTTACATCGAGGGGACCCTCTCTACGGAGGCCGCCATGTTTTTTACATTAGTCCAGACTGGACAAACTAAAACCTTTTGAGTTTTTATGACAATTAAAGGCTACCACAGGTTCTTTTTCATGTTTGGAGGAGAGGGTGAGGTGAGGGGTGTTCAGCTGCAACATGCTATTTCAACACTTGATATCACTGTACCTTTAAGCCAAATCCACAGCCGGTTTATAAGAAGAATACTGCAATTTCATTTCTTCAGTTCCTGAGTCCTGTAACAGGATCTGCTGTTAAATGCTTTTGTCCTCTGTCCTGTAGGAATATTCCACAAAAAGATCCTAGAATACCAAGAGAAGAAGAAAAGGGACAAGACAAGGAAACACTAACTTTCAGCTGGGACTTTTGGTGTACATAGGAAAAGATGTGAATGTTGTACTGTGTGTTTTGCTTCCTGTGCTAGTTTGGTTTTAAATATGTATGCAATGTGTGAATTACTGTATGGCTAACTTGCTGCTACTCTGTGAAACACTGGCAGAATGAGAGAGTTGAGTTCCAGATGTTGATTCTCAGCCTGTGCCGATGAGCAGGAAAATCATTTCAAATAAAGACTAGTTTTTTATGTCCACATAACTGTGTTCTCTGATTTTTTTAACAAGTGTAGCCCCCAATGGCAGGTAGTAATTTGTCTGTATTGGTTTCTATCTGTCTGTCCATATGTCTGTATTTTTCCTTCCTTTCAGTTAACCAAAATGCAAGAAATTAGCAGTTCAGTTCAGTTCGGTCCCAAAACCTATTGTGTACAACAGTCACAAGTTCCGAGGCACTCTCCGACACTTGCTTAATGCATTTTTATGTAGTTATAATGTTATACAGGAATGAATTACAATTATTTCAAAGCAAGTTTAATCCACATAATCTCAAAAATGCTGATTGAAATACCAGTGGAAATAAGTGGCAACCCACTGCTCTGAACTGCTGTTTGTGTGGGTGCAGTCTAATAATGCAGTTTGTCTATGAAGGTTCCTGACTGAGGGAAATGACCTGAGGTAACAAACAAACGAGGGGGAAATACATGTACAGATTATATGAAAGCACGTAAGAAAACAAATCTCCAAACACAAGCAAAAAAATAAATGTTGATATTAGATACCTCATTCTTGCATTGGCTTAGACTGGTTTTGATTTTGAAATATCTTAATTTCTCTACACACAATTCCTCTAGTCGCAGCAGGCTTTATTAAGGCTTTATTACAAGACTCTGTTTTCAGCAAAAAAAAAATAAAATTGATTGTCGACTGTCAAGGAAGGTGGTTCATTCTTCCTGGACTGAAGCCAGCTTCGCATGACTTCCTAGAAAGTCTGCACTGTTTCACACTGATAAAATAAATATTTCAAACTGTCCATTCCCCTACACAGCAGATACAGTAGTTCACATCCAAATGTCATTCATTTTGTTCATCTCTGTTATTTTAGGACGAAATGGGAATTCAACTATTGTCTTAACTTCTTCAGCTCCAAACTTTTGACTGGGGAAGGTTAATATTCTTTTATAGGACATTTTTACTCTTTATATCATATGTCTATATAGACATTTTGTCAACGATGAGATTAGGTGACACTTAAATTAACAGTACGTTTATGAATCGTGGTAAGTATGTGATTGGTAAATAAGCATTAATTCTTTAATATCCTCAGTATCAGCATGGAGGACATAGAGGATGAAACTTTTTTATTTTATTTTATTATTCCAATTACACTCCAATCCAGAAGATGGCGACACCATATTGAGGAGAAGAAGAAGAGATGGCGGCGAGTCGAAGAAGAGCTCCTCAGTCATTGGTTTATTTGAAAGGGCGGTCAGGTGACGTCACAGTTTGAACTCGGAGGAAACCTGGTGGGTGAGTAGGAACTCTTCTCTCATTTCTACTGAAACATCATAAAGTGGATCGAAGCTCCGCTCTGATCCAATGACTGCATCGATACTGAGCGTGTGWGAGTGTTTGSTTCTTTGAACGCTTCTGATTAGCTCATGTTTAATGGSAGCTAGCGTTAGCCGCTTGTTTGCTTCACAACATGAACCCAACGGAAAGTACAGCTCCTCCGAACCAATGTCTCCTGAGACATTCACTGACCGAGTGGGACTGAAGCTTRCAGTCTGAAAGAAGGACCCGGCCATGAAGTCCCCACAGACAGTTCTCATGTAAACTGGTTGAACACAGGTCCGCTCGSTGAAACTGACTCTWATGTCTCATGTTCTCTGAAGCTTCGTGCTGAATAATGGCGGAAAGCGACTGCGGCTCCGCTGAACGATACGAGTTCGATGCTCCGTCCCACGTCGTCGACTTGAAGGAGCTGGAGAACAACGACGGAGATGACCAGTGGTTCGGTGAGTGTCCGTGTGGCTGTTCGACACTGAGCRGCTCAGACGGTAGAAAACCCTTCCTTCATCTTTGTCCAGCAGCTGATCGGTGTTTTCCTCTGGGTGTCCGGTCCCGATGAGTAACCCTGGTTCTCATGTGGCTCAGACACGAGGAGGAAACTCACTGTGACAGCTTGACTCAGAGGATGGTTGATTTATCTGGAGCCTCTGCAGACTCGTCCACTTTGGAAATGGATGCAGGTGTTGTACACTGAGCTGTTAATGTGAAACACAGAGTGATGTTGTGTGAAGCTCATCTGCTGCTGTTGGTTCATTTATCGACTCAAACCAAAGACATGTTCCACTGAGACACTTTCTCTCTTGTTAACAAACTGTGGTGGAAACAGTCTGTGTGAAACAATGACCAGTATGTACGTTCKAACACCTGTTTGAGTTCACATCTACTTTCTGTCTCACYTGCAGAACAACAGGTCGGGGGAGCAGAGGGTCGCCTTACTACACCTTCAAGACCCGACTGGCCCTTTATGAGAAGCAACACACCCAACCTGCCCAAAGCCATCGTGATTCCTCAAGTCAAGACAGATGTGGACACTGGTTAGTTACTATTATTATATATATATATTCTGATAAGATACTTTAAGGTGGTTTTAAAAGATTGCTTGGTCCTTGTGAGCGTTCCTCTGGTCTCCTGTAATTCAGTGACTAGTCCTGATGACTTGCTCAATGTGAATCCATGTGGACTGATCCATGTTCCAGGTCCTGGCACAGCCGCATCTCCACCTCCAAACCTTGTCACATCCTGGGGAGCTGGAACTGCGACTCAGGCCGATGGCCGACCAAAGAGGAGAGCAGCGAATCAACCTCCMGTCCAGCCAAGCAGGTGCACTTCTTGTGATGGCTACACATGAACTACAGTGTGAAATGAAGTGTGRTGCAACAAGCTACACAGTACAACACAATGCAGTTTTATTCTTGCACGTTCTTGAGGCGTCATATAATCAAATAATACTTTTGTAATTAGCATCAAATTTCAAGACTGAAGCCTGGAGGCCAATGGTTTAATGTTCTGTTTGTGTGCTTTCTGTTTAAAGTTGCATTGACAGTCAGTCCCATACAMGGGAAATGCACAATCAGGTGTTTGGGGAACTTCAGATTAAGTTTTAAGCATTTCTGTACTTTTGATGTAATTTAATGTTTAATCTTTATTTTTTTCCTCATTTTAGGATTTCAAAACGTAAAGAGACATCAACCGGTTCAGTTCCGACACAGTCGACTGCACCACCGTCAAAGAAATCCAAACCGTAAGTGTCACGATTGTCCTGTCATCCCAAGATGTTCTCTTTCCCTTCACCTCAGCAAGTGCTCTGCACCTCAACAGCCACTGCATAGGTTTATAGATCAATTTTTTTTTTAAACAAATGCTTGTGATGCCTTGTCGGCCCCCCCACTTTGTTTTCTCCTTTTACTGTATTTCATTCAACTTTWCTACTGCGGCTGTTTGTTTTAGGAGTCCTGTTGCCAGACGAGCTCGAAAGTCCAGTAGTGTCCTCCGCCGAYGTGGGCAGACAAATCCCAGGACTGGTCTCCGCCGAAGTGTACAGACAAATCCCAGGACTGCACCTAAGACTGYGACAGCAGCTTCTAAAACTGGGAACACAGAGTAAGAAGACTAACACTCAGAATCTCTTTGCATTACATTACGTATCATTAAGCTGATGCTTTTATCCAAATCRTAAATGTTGTGAGTGTGTATAAGTGGAGATTCCACTTTAAATGAGATGTTGGCCGATGTGTTAAAACAGGCTGTGCAGCTCTGAAGAACAGGAGCTGGAGCGCATCAGGATCCTCCAGAAGGAAGTGGCTCTTCACCGCAAAAAGAACGAGGCCAGCTACAAAGCGGCTCTGGCTGGCAGTGAGTGGATTTAAGTGACTGACTTTGTGTGGCTGCAGTTAATTCAGTTCAGTAATTAATGTGCTGAATAACGAGCTGTGTSTTGGTGCCTCTTTAAAATAACAGTTAATTGGGATCCAGGTTCTTTTCTTCTTGAAGGAAATCAGTGTCTGTTATTTCAGATCCACCACCGAAGAAGACAGCCCTGTCCACGACTGTGCCTAAAGAATTCAATTTCAACACAGACCACCGCATTAAGGCGACCYCCTCATCCAGTACAGCAGATAAAGAAGTGGACTTCATCAGTCAGCTTCGCAAACCTTCCTCCCCAGTAAGTTGTTCATATGATCAACCTGATCCAGAATTCTGAATATGCTCTAGAAATACTCTGAATTATCTTCAGCRCAGTCTCTATAGAACTAGAGTTCAGTTTTAACACTTGTCTTTATTGAGCAGTATTATAATGTATATGCAGTGAAGACATTTAAACAAACTTTCTCCAGATCTTACCTATATTTTATTTATTTATTTTTAAGCTAAAGGCCACGAAAGGTGCCACTATACCGAAACCCTTCAACCTGTCCACGGGCAACAAGAGGAAGGTGGAGGGGTCGGGTGCCTATGTGCCCYTGGCTCAGCAGATTGATCAGTTCCAAAAACGAACCCCCGACCGCTACCATCTGCGTAGTCGCCAGAGTCAAGAGAGAGGGCCGCATCCAGTGAAGGGTGACCACCTGAAGCTCACCCAACCTCATACCCCACACCTGATGACCCGCCAGAGGAGCCGGCCCACCACTGTGAAGAGCAGTGCTGAGCTGGAGGCTGAAGAGGTGGACAAACTTCACAAGTAAGAGCTTGTTCTTCAGCACAGATGCAAAAATGTCCCTGTCTGCTGCACCACCTCTTGAATGATGTGGAGCATTTGTTGCTGTTGCATGTGTGAAAAGCAAACTGCGGCTAAAGTCAGGACTCTTTTCTCCTGACCTTATCTTCAGGTTATGTCTGAAAACGACAGGAAAAGTGGCGACCTGTGAAAGTATTTTAAAAACAAAACGAAGAGATGAATTAATTTATATGGATCAAAATGTCATTGCTCACTGATTTATTTGTCCCTCCTCTTCCTCCTCCAGAGGGTCATGGTCCAGTATATATTATGGGCAGGGTCATAACTGTAAATGAATCATGTTATTTGCTGACATGAGAGGCCATGGACTGACGTAACATAACCTTATGACAGTGGACTGATCGATGGTTCTGCATTTGTTGCATACATTCTGAGCTGCTGACATAAATCCTCCAACTCTGTCCAGAAAAAGAAAAGTCCATCAGAGCAGCAGTGGGGACAAAATGTGAAAA